CACATACAGGGATACCAGCAAATACGCTAGCTGCAAAATATATCAGGATGTTATTGATGAGGGTGTCAGAACATGCAAGCTTGATGACCTGAACTACTTCACAGAAGAGAGGGATTTCGAGGTCTGTGCAGAAGGTCAGTGGCAACACCATCAGACTGTGCATTGGGGCATCCACAATGCTAATAAACAGAGAAAGAAGAATCAAAAGGCCACAGAAATGGGGGTTCATGATGACTGTGTACCTCAGTGGATGACAAATGGTCACACAGCGATCATAGGCCATTACTGAAAGAATACAACTGTCCAAACTTGCAAAAACCAGGACAAAGCAGGTTTGGGTGAGGCAGCCTGTGTAACTGATGGACTTGCTCTGTGTCTGGATATTCACAATCATCTTTGGGATGGTGGTGGAGGTGAAACAGATGTCAACAAAAGACAGGTTGAAGAGGAAGAAGTACATGGGGGTGTGGAGGTGGGAGTCCAAGATGACGGCCAGGATGATGAGCAGGTTTCCCAGGATGGTGACCAGATATATGAACAGGAACAGGCTGAAGACGAGGGACTGCATATCTGGATTCTCTGTCACTTCCATGAGAAGAAATTCTAGAATGCCTGTTTCATTTCTGAGTTCCATATTGCTAATGAACCTGATGGAAATGATGCGGTAAGAAGGCAATGAAATGTTGGTTCCTAGGCAAGCAGGAATATCGCCAAGTGCAAGCACCATGTTGGGAAAGAAAAGACTTAAATGGAGAGATGCCTTCTCTATGCATATTATTTTGCAGAAAGATTTAAAGTTAATAAAGCAGTGAGTCAACATTCGTTAATTCTGGAAAGGGTTGAGGAGTTGTCATTTTTTAAATTAGACTACTCATTCTGTTTTGATTATTTGAAACATTTGGGGGCATCTGGGTGGCTCAGTTGGTTAAGCATCTGACTTTGGCTCAGGTCATAATCTCATGGTTCGTGAGTTCGAGCCCCACATCAGGCTCTGTGCTGACAGCCCAGAGCCTGGAGCTTGCTTTGGATTCTGTGTCTCCCTCTCTCTGACCCTTCCCCACTCATGCTCGGTCTCTCAAAAATGAATAAATGTTAAAAAGTAAAATAAAATACGGCAATGAGAAAGAATGACATCTGGCCATGTGTAGCAACATGGATGGACCTTGAGGGTGTTCTGCTGAGCGAAATAAGTCAGGCAGAGAAGGACAAATACCATATGTTTGCACG